TCTCTCTCTCTCTCTCTCTCTCTCTCTCTCTCTCTGTCTCTCTCTCTGTGTGTGTGTGTGTGTGTGTGTGTGTGTGAGTATATGCTTTAAAACACAGATACCAGGCTGGGGAGACAGCTCTGTCGGTATCCTGAGTTTGATTGCAGAACCTAGATTAAAGGATAAACAAATAAATGACCTTCAAGACGATTAGTGAGTAAGCGCACATCCTGCCAAGCCTAGCGACCCGAGTTCCATCCCCAGGACCCACATAATGGAAAAAGACAACCAATTACCATACGCTGGCCTCTGATGTTCACTCTCTATGTATGTCATTACATTCATGCCTGCATACACACACACACACACACACACACACACACACACACACTGGGGGGGAGAGAAACGAATAAATAAATAAAATTTTGAGAGAGTTTCAAAGCCAGAATGTTGCTATTCCCTTGTAATCTCAGGGGACACCGAGGCAGGCAGATTTCTAAGATGGCAATCTGCCCACTTGACTAATGAAAAATCTGTCTCAAATAAAAAGTGCTTTGGAGAATGATACCAAGGCTATCCTTTTACTTTCATGCATAAGTATATGCACATGCATGGTCAAAGATGAAAACTGTAGACGTCCATGTCCAGAATAAGCAGCAAGCAGCATGCTGAGCCTCTGCTCTACTGCTCTGTAATAAGGCAAGAACAGAAATGCTGGAGGAGAAGGAATCTGGCTCAGGGGTCACACAGCTCTGCATAGAGAGAGGAGAGTCTTCATTTCAACAAGCAGGCTGGAGGTCACACCCACAACAGCAGGTCCCCAGGGCCTCTTTCTCTGCTGATTTCTAAACCCCTGGGACCCTCTCAATGACTTTTAGATGTACTTTCTGAACTGTCCTGACCAATTACATTGCCTCTTCTTTCAGGGACAGAACAAAAAGGTCACTGGAGTTTGCAGCAAACCCCAGAGCTTAATTACTGTCTTATGTACCCAAGCTTACTTGCTTACTCAGACTAGGAACTGGGTACAGCTTACTTCCTGGGTACAAGGAGGTATGGCCTCCACCTACCCAGGGCCAGAGCCAGAATCAAGGGAAGGAAGCTGCCTTTAAAGGATCAGATACATAGGTAGCCAAGACAGAGAGTTTCCCTTGTTCCAAGTGGAGCTGAACCTGGAGGGTGACCGCCCAAGGGCGTGCAGTAGGTAAGTAGCAGACAAGGGAGCAAAACAGGAGCTGGAGCTCTACTCAGTGAGACGGTGACTGTCCAGCATGTGCCAGGTCCTGCATTCAACCCCTGACACTGAGAAGACAAACAACAAAAGTGTTGTGTCATCTTTTTTAGGGGTTACCTACTCCTGCAGTCCAATGGCAGGACCTGCTTCCCAGACACTTCTCAACTTGGCCTTCAGTTTCTAGGTTCACTACCCATCAAAACCCATTCTCCACAGGCATAAGTCAAGTGATGTCACCCATGAGCTTGAAATCAAACTGTGTGTTATCGTGATAGGGTCTGTCTGTGTGGCCCAGGCCGACCTGGAACTTGCTTAGGTCAAGCAACCCAACCCTCTTGTCTCTGCCTGCTTCCTCAGTGTTAGGATTATAGCTGTCTACCTACAGCCCAAGTCCTTCCATTCTCTCACAGTGAAATCTGGCTGAGGGATACAGGTCAGTAGTAGAGGGCTTGCTGGGCATGCCAGAGGCCCATATTCCATCCCAATGGTGCAGAAAGAAAGAAAGGAAGAGAGAGAGAGAGAGAGAGAGAGAGAGAGGGGAGGGAGAGAGAGAGAGAGAGAGAGAAGGGAAGGAGGGAGGGAGGGAGGGAGGGAGGGAGGGAGGGAGGGAGGGAGGAAGGAAGTTAAGGAAGGAAGGAAGGAAGGAAGGAAGGAAGGAAGGAAAGGGATGGACTATTTACTACAATGCCAGCACTGGAGAGGCAAGAGACAGAAGGATCAGAAGGTCAAGATCATCGTTAGCTACATAGCAAATTTAAGGACAGCCTGAGCTACATGAGATTTGGGGCGGGGCAAGGGAGAAGAGAGGAAAGGAGAGGGACATGGGGGAAAGGAAGCAACAGAAAGGGGTAGGTAGTGGAAGAACAGAAGAGTACTGGATGAGTACTTGCTGAGACTGTGAGGTTTGGAACTAGAGAAATGTCTCAGTGATTAAGAGAACGTGCTGTTCTTGCAGAGAACCGGGGTTCAAGTCCCAGTATTCACATGGCAGCTCACAACCATCTGTAACACGAGTTCCAGGGGATCTGATGCAATCTTCTGGCTTTCTCAGGGCTGAACACATGTGGTACACAATGCAGGCAAAATACCATACTTGTAAAGTAATTTGAAAAAAGTCTTAGTTTTGTTTCCAGCATCACAAAAACAACTTATAAAGAAAAAAAATCAAAGGTTCAAAATCTTAGGCTGGACATGTAGCTAGTAGATAGAGACCTTCCCCGCCTGCATAACCCCCTGCGTTCAATCTTATGTAATACATAAAATGTAAGTGTAATTTCAGCACTTGGGAGGCGGAAGCAGGAAGACCTAAAATTTATTGTCAGCCGCGTAGTGAATGTGGGACCAGCCTTAGCTATACAAACCTTTGCCCCCTCCAAAATAAACTTAATTAATTAATTAATTTAATTAGAAAAAAGAAAAATTCCAGCCTTTTGCTTCCTCATTCCTTTGCTTGCTGTGACCAGAACTTACTCTGTTTTGTCCACTAGACCCGTCAACCTCAAGGTCTTCTAGAACCTTCTTATATACCCTTCTCTAAGCAACTGTTTCAATACCCTCGTTGCCCTGATTTAATATCATCAGATACTCTGGTTGGTTGAGTTTTGTTTTGTTTTTGATACAGTCTTATGTAGCCCAAGTTGGCCTGGAATTCCCTAGGTAGCTGAGGATGACCTTGAACTCCTCATCCTGCTACCATGATGGTAGGTAGCATCATGGCCAACTTTCAATAAATATTCCTTAAGTAAACAGACAGAAGGGCAAAGGCTTCTCAACAAACTGCAGTGGCAGTTAGGAGGTGGCAGTGTCTCCAGCTAAGGGGCTGGAGGAATGGTGTAACAGTTAGGGACGGTTAGGGACACTTGCTGTTCTTACAGAGGAGCTGAGCTCAGTTTTCCCTGTAACTTCAGCTCCAGGAAATCCGACTCTGTCTTCAGGCATCTGCAGTTTATACACATAATTGAAAGTAAGAATAAACCTCTAATGGCAGTATGCTGGCTAACATTAAGTTGATGGCTCACTTCCCGTTTAAAAGTTAAAACTTATTGTGCTTTTGCTTTGCAGAGAGCTGTAACGGAAAAGTCTAATGTCAAGGGCTGTTAAAGGCTACTCTTATAATCGCCTGGTCTTGTACAGTTTTTAACAAACCTGATGCTTATGCAAGAATATAGGTCGTAAAGTTAATTTCTGCTTTTGCTTCTGTAAGCAAAAGCTTGTTTTGCCCCAGATAACCTTCTTCTTGTAGGTAAACAGAATGTAACTTTATATTCCTTGACTTTACAAACCCCTGACTGATGTAGCTGGCCTGTATTTGGGGATCCTGAGTCCTAGATGTAAACCTAGCACCAGTAGCTGAATAAAAGCCTCTTCTTTGTTTAAACTTTACTAACAGTCAGACTTCGAATGACCCCAGACCCATAATAGCAGCAAGGACAGTGTTCACACATACTGTGAACCAGAACCAGTGACATTGGCCCCATTTCTAAAATGGGGAAACTGAAACAAAGAGACTGGGTAAACCTAAGGTGATTGAATGCCTAAGTTTACCAGGACCTAGGATCCCCAGTCTGAAAGTCAGCAATTCTTAAGAACATCCTGAGAGCAACAGAAATACAGAGGGAGCCACAAGCGTCTAGGCCCAGATCCCTGGGTCTGTGGGAGGAGGCTAGGGTCTACATGCCTGGGTCTGAGAAAGGAGGCTGGGTCTGAATCCCTGGATCTAACTTAGAAAGGTGAGATCCCAAGGAGGAAGGCAAGAGCCTGGACTCCTGGGTCTGAATAAAGACGCCTGGGACCTGAGTCTGAGGTAGAAAGTCTTTGGTCTAGAGCCATGGGTCTAAGAGGCAAGAGTTGGGATTCGAGAGCTGCTGGGACCTGGCTTGGTCCTCTGGATCTAAATGAGTTGCCTCTGTCTTCTATCTAGGTATGAGGCTATTAGCCACGCCCCAGAACTGCCCTCTTTACTTTCAGGCCCTGCCCTGTTCCTTCTTTTGCCCCTCCCTTTCCTGTTAAAGTTCTGGAAAGATCTGGAAAAGACTTCAGACACGATTGAGGAGATGGACGAGCTAAAAGACGGGTCTTTGTGTAACGGGTGAGTGAGATAAAGACCTTCCAGGGAAGAGAGCCTTGCTAAGAAGAGGGGGCAGAGAATATTAGAGCAAGCAGTGTCTTGAACTGAACGTATCGTTTAAAATCCAAATAGACAGAATCAGGTATTGAGTATGACCTAGGAATTCTCTCAAGGATTTTGGTGGCTGACTGTTGAGCAAGATGCTTCTAGATACGGGGGCAGAAGTAACAGAAGTTGGAGGTCATCCTCAGCTACAGAGCCTGGTTACACGAGACTTCATCTCAAATAAGTAAGATAATTAATTACTAAGTTAAGCCTTAGACACAGCAGCTGGGAATTGGAACTGAAGAGTTGGATCCTGGGATTACTCAGAAAAGGGAATATGACAGTGGGTAGAGGAAGTCACAGATACGGTGTCTCCTGGAGGCTGTGCAAAGATACCAGGCAGTTGGTGATGTACTGACCGCCCTGTTACCTTCCTAGGGACAATCTATCTTTGTCATCAGCTGGGACTGAGTCGTGCCCTGTGTCAACCACCCCAGACCTGCCACCGTCACTCCTGAACACCCTAGACCCAACCCACCTGGGGCTCCCAGAGCAACTGGCCTCTGTCACAGTACCCATCCGCCTAGACACCCTGTCCTACCTCCTACACAGTGCTCTCCTGGGGACCTACAACCTCCAGCAGTCCTTACCCCCTTGCTCCTGCGCTGCCCAGCCAAGCCACATCTGGCCAGACACAGTCAGGAGGCCACCCAGGAGATCGGGCCAGGCCCGTGGGGGCTGGGAAGTTCGACGCAGGCCTTTCCGGGGCTGGGGCAGAGGCCGGGTACAGTCACAAAGGGGGCCTGGAAGAGCTGAAGAGCTGGAGAGGATGGAGAGGAGCATGGCAGGGTGTCCTGGGGCTGGCCCCAGTACCCCACCAGTGACACCACCATCCCAGGATGGGCAGAAGGAAGCTGGAAGGCTGTCTGAAGACTGGGAAACAGACTACTAGGACCTTGAAGAGCGTCCAGTACCTGGTCACCCAGTGTTCTCAATACTTCAGAAATACCCTGAGAAATATTATTCCTACAGTTTCCCCAGTCCCCAGACTACAACCTCTGAAGGCCTCCTGCAGATGATCACCTGGTAAACCTCCTGCAGATCACCAAACCAGTCCTAGAAATAAGAAAACTCCTGTGCCCAGACTCACAGCATCCCAACCCAGCTACTTACGATTCCAGTTTGTTCTCAGTGCTCTCAAGGCTGCTCCAGCCTCATTTCCTGACCAAATCACCCCTGAAAAGCTCTTCCTCTCTCTATTCTACAGTCGGCCCATCTTCACTACTCCCCCAACCCCACACACACACCTCTTGGTCTTCAGTCCAAATCCACTCTCTCATCCCTAATTTGTTGGTTTGCTGGTGTTTGTTTTTTTTCCAGTGCTAGCCTCCTGTGTGCTAGTGAAACTCTGAAGTAAACTGTGATCCTCTTATTTTTATCCTGAGAAAGAGTCTCGACAAGTATTCAAGCTGGCCTTGAATTTTCGATCCTCTTGTCTCAGCTTCCAAGTATCTGAGATTAAAGGTCTGGTCCACAAGGCCTCCCATCATTCCCAGCTCATTTTGCTTTGTTTTAAAACCAGTCCTCCTCTCTGAGTCACTCCAGTGTTAAGATCGGTGTGGACTACTAGCCTAGGCTCGTTCCCCACTTCCTGGTCCTCAGTTTGCATTCACTATATCTCATATTGACCTTCACTTAACAATAGTACTCTGTTCAACTCGAGCCTCAGCCCCAGCATCTACTATGTCCCAGCCCAGCTCTGACAAGCCCTTGATCCTACCCGACCAAGAACCCCTTGGCCTGACATGTCTAGACACCTGTACCCACCTCCACCATTGCTGCTTACTGCCCCTCGAGCTGGGAAGCCCCGGTTGAAATAAAAGGGTGTCTACTCTTATCTCTTTGTGTGGGGTGTGCTTTCTGCAAGGTTCAGGATACTCAGGGTGAGGACAGGGAATAAAGGCTGGGAGACGGGAAGGGTCACACACAGGTTGATGGGGCCCCTTTGTCCCCTGCTTCAGCAAATTCCATTGGGGCCTCTGCTGCCACTGTGTTTCTGCCTGCTGGAAGCTGCTAGACCATGCAGCCATTGTGTGGGGAGGCTTAAGGGATTTGAGGGGACCACGAGGCAGAGATCCCAGCAACCTGGCTCGGCTCAGTATCCACAGAGGGGCTGTGGCAGAAGGAGGGCTCAGAACAGACTCTGCCACTCAGGTAGGCACCAGCGGGAGACCGACAGCCCCCCTACCCGGGAAGTCTAGGCTCCCAGGCCCTTCTCTCCTGGAAATGAATCCCAGCTCTAGCCCTTCCTCTCCAAGAGCCAATAGAGGCTTATGGACATCTTCCTGTCAGGAATGAAGAATCCAGATTTCCAGTCCTCCTCCCTCAGACCCAGGGGTCCAGGCTCCTGCCATCCTCCCTCAGACCCAGAGGTTTAGGCACCTGTCCTCCTCTCTCAGACCCAGGGGTCCAGGCTCCTGCCCTTCTCCCTCAGACCCAGGGGTTTAGGCACTTGTCCTCTTCCCTCAGACCCAAGAGGCCAGTCTCCACCCCTACTCTCTTCCTTTAGGGCCATACATCTATTCCCCAACCTTCCTTTCACTTCAGGGTCCAGACCCCAACCCTCCTCTGTCAGGCCCAGGATAAATAACCGTTTACAACCTCAGCTCTCCCCTTTTCACAGATCACCATGTACAGCTTCATGGGTGGTGGCCTCTTCTGTGCCTGGGTGGGGACCATCCTGTTAGTGGTAGCCACAGCGACTGACCACTGGATGCAGTACCGGCTGTCGGGGTCCTTCGCACACCAGGGCCTGTGGCGTTACTGCCTGGGCAACAAGTGCTTCCTGCAGACGGAGAGCATCGGTGAGCCTTGAGGCCAGGGTCTGAATGGTACTAGGTCTAATCCTCCCCCAGAGCACAGCTTCACTCCATCATCCCTGGCACTCTGAGGGAGAGCATGGTAGCTCAGAGATGCACAGGTCCTGGCACTAGGATACTCAACAGGGGGTGGAACAGGCTTTGTATCTCTGGATTGTTTTCTAGTTACAGGGACAGGGTGTAAGGTTTTGTGGTTGGGTTAATGGGGTGGCAGATGCAGCAGCGAGGCTGCAACACCTCCCTTTTTAAAAAACGTTGGTATATGAGCTATGAGGTGGGTGTGGTAGCATATGCATGTCATCTCAGCACTTTGGATGTGGAGACACGAGGATTGTGAGTTGGAGGCTTCACAGCCCCTGTTTCAAAATACAAATAATTAATAAGCCAATCGATACTATGAGCCAATAGTGTTAGGGACAGGGACCGCAGAGATTGTTAATGAGTTGCATGCCAGATGAAAGACTCTTTCCTATCTACTGTGTTCCAGGCCATGTAATTATAGATAAATGGATCCATGTATGGATGAATAGTTGACTGATTAATTGTTGATTGATTGACTGACTGACTGATATAGCTAGGATAGAAAGACTGATATAGCTAGGATAAATGGGTGAGTGACTAGATAGATAGATAGATAGATAGATAGATAGATACATAAATACATACATACATACATACATACAAAATACATGATAGAGTGGATGGATGGATAGATGGTTAGATAGGATAGAAATATGATTGATAAGATTGATGGATAGAAAGATAGGCTATATAATGGGCAGGATGAATAGATGTATAAATAATATAGAAAGATGATGAATAGACTAGATGGTTGGATGGATGGACAGCTAGAATAGATGGATGGATGGATGGATGGATGGATGGATGGATGGATGGATGGATAGATGGATGGATGGATGGATAGATGGATGGATGGATAGATGGATGGATGGATGGATGGATGGATGAATGGATGGATGGACAGCTAGAATAGATGGATGGATGGATGGATGGATGGATGGATGGATGGATGGATGGTTAGGAAGGGTGGGACAAACTAGATGATAGATAGGATAGCATGAAAAGATAGTTGAATGGATGGATAGACAGCTAGGAAGCATCTTACTCTTCTACTGCTATGACAAAATGCCATGACCAAGGTAACTTAGGAAGAAAGAGTTTATTGGGGCTCACAGTTTCAAAGTGTTAGAGTCTGTGACCATCATGATGGAAAGCATGGCAGCAGGCAGGCAGCAGAGGCACTGCAGCAGTAGCTGAGCGATCACATCTTAATCCACAAGTAGGAGGCAGAGAGACACACTGAGCCTGACATAGACTTTAGAAACCTCAAAGTCCACCCTTAGTGGCACACCTCCTCCAAGAAGTCCACACCACCTAATCCTTCCCAAATAGTTCCATCAACTGGAGAATAAGCTTTCAAATATATGAGTCTAGTCTATGGGGTCTATTCTCATTTAAACCCTCAGAAGTAGGTAGGTAGTCAGACAGGCAGGCTAGCCAGTTAACCAGAACCAGGAGGCTGAAGCAAAAGGACTGTCTGTCACCCAAACAAACAAATAAGTAAAAACTACATAAGTTCTAACCCTGAAGCATCAGAGAGAGAAGTAGATCCTTAGGGTTTACTGGTCAGCCAGCTTAGTGTACTTGGTGAGCTCCAGACCAGTGAGAGACTGTTTCAAAGAACAAGATGGAGAAGTCCTGAAAAACAAGACTGACCTTGGGTCTCAACATGCACATACACACATGCACCCACATAAACAGGCATAGGCACACATGATGGAAAAGGGGTGACACAGAGAAATACATTACATAGTATATATTAGGTATGAATATATAATATTAACAAATAATATGCTCTACGTAGTGTACTTTCTATAGCATAGGAAATTAGTAATAACTAATGTTTTGTTTAATGTATCATACAATGCAGCATATAAGATAATATATCATTATACATAATGTTACACTGCACAAAATTTTCTACAATATATTACTTATAATTGTTGAGTTTTAGTCCTGAAAACAACAGTAGTAGACGTAACCGACTAAGTGCTTACCTAGCTCAAGCACTTTCTGTGGGTTATACCCCTTCTGTCTCCCAGGAATACTGGCAGGCAGTTTGGCCATCTGTAAGGATTGGACAGAGGCAGACATGGTGGTGCACACTTGTAATTCCAGCACTTAGGAGATGCAGGAGGACCCAGACTTTCAGGAAAACATGGGCTATGTAGTGAGAGCCTGTCTAACAAACAGAGAAAAGGATGGTTTCTCAAGCTGGTAATTCCAGCACTTGGAAGCTGGAGGCAGGAGAGTCAGGAATTCAAGGTCAATCTTAGCTACATCATGAGTTCAAGGACAACTTAGGCTACAAGAGACCCAGTCTCAAAATTGTTACTAAACATCTATCTTATGCAAGACAGCTATCAGGGACTGAGGATGCAAGAGAGAGTGAGGTATTCTGCCCTGGTCTTTTCAGACACATACATATAGTCAAAACACATGGACAGGACTTTTCAGACATAGGAAAGTACAGTGAACAGGATAGAAAGGACCAGTAAGGTAGAGGTCATTGTCAAGAACATATGGGGAAATATTTCACAAGGCCCATGGAACCTGAAGCAGAGGGTGTGCACAGTGGACACAATCAGAACGATGCTTCCTGGATGAGGTGAGAGCTGGGGCATTGGAGGATGAGGATGAGTGTGCCAGGTCCAATGAGGGAAGAGGTGAGTTAAATCCATGGAAAAAACAAGGCACGGTGGTCCCAGAGGTAGCAGCCCAGGAGTGACTGTGTTGTGTCCCCACAGCATATTGGAATGCCACCCGGGCTTTCATGATCCTGTCTGCCCTGTGTGCCACCTCGGGCATCATCATGGGTGTCCTAGCCTTTGCGCAGCAATCTGCCTTCACTCGACTCTCCAGGCCCTTCTCCGCCGGCATCATGTTTTTCGCCTCCAGTGAGTGACCCCACCCTTCATTCCCCACCCAAGCTTTCCAGCTCCCCAGTCCCACTCCAGCACCCACTTCTCCTCACTCTGCACATTCCCTCACTCATCTCTAGACCCTGTGCCACTGACTTTTTCTTTCTTCTCTGATTTTACCCTGCTTTTAGGTAATCACCTCTTTCCCTCCCTTCTTTCCTGTCTCTCTTTTGTCCTGGTGATGAGAATAAAATCTCAGGAATTTACATACACTAGAAAGACATTCTGTCACTGCGTCACCTCCCAGCCCCTCACTGGGGGATTCTAGGCAGGGATTCTAATACTAACACCCCACAGAACTTAAGAGACGTCTACACTAACAGTAACAGACTCTTCATAGACGTTCAGCTCAAGACCAGCAAATGGAGAGACATAAGGTAAGTCCTGTCAGAATTTCATTACACAGATGGTAAATAGTACATTCCTGGAATTTCTCATTGCTGTGACCAAATAACAAGAAACAACTTAAGGAAGGTGGGGTATATTTGGCTTACAGTTTGAAGGCACAGACCATCGTGACAAAGAAGTCATGACGGCAGAAGCAAGGGGCAGCTGGTAACATTGCATCCACAGTCAGGAAGCAGAGAGATGATAGCTGGTACTCAGCTCACTTTTATTCTATTATTTTATTTTATTTTACTTTATGTTATTTTACTTTTTTTTTTCTGTACATGACCCCATATCATGAGATACTGTTGTCTACACATTCAGGGTGGATATTGTACCTTAGTTAAAATGCTCTGGAGGGGCTGGTGAGATAGCTCAGTAGCTAAAGACACTTGTCAAGCTTGTTGAACTGAGTTTATGTTCCCCGGACCCAAGAGAAAACAAACTCCCACAGATTTGTTCTGTGACCTCCTACAAGTGCTGTGACACACACACAATGCATACACACACACACACACACACAAACACATGCACACATACACACACAAACATGAACATGCACACACATATACGTGTACATACACCACAAAAAGAGAAAAAGAGACACAGACAGACAAGACAGAGACAGAGACAGAGAAAGTGGAGGTTCTCTTAGGTGATTCTAAATCTAGTAGAACTGACAGGGAAGCCCAACCATCACAAATGAACTCACTGCCCATGGACCGTGTCTAACCCCCAGCTTCTGTCCCAGAGGCAGCCCTACTATCTCAGGCTCAAGATCTTAATAAGCTGTCTTAGTCACTGTTGTGAAGAGACACCATGACCACAACAACTCTTAAGAAAGAAAGCATTTCATTGGGGCTGGCCTACAGTTTCAGAGATTTAGTCCATTCTCTTCGTGATGTGGAGAATGATGGCCCTCACAGCACTGAAGAAGTAGCTACATACTGCACTGGCTCTCTGAGACACTCTGAGCTTGGGATGTGTATTCAAACAATCTCCTGGTGAGTGTTTCTGATGGGCACTCTAAGCCACCTGTTGATTCATACAAACTCTAATGTGATCCAAGGAGCTCTTTAGAGTAAGATGCACCGTAACTCAGAGCACTGCAAGGATGTAGCCGCCAGCAGAATCCAGAGAAAATCAACAGAAATGCTTTATTGTGCTTCCCAGCCTTGCCTTCACCCAATCCCATCCCCATATCACCTTCACTCTCATGACTCTCCCCACCCCCATCAACCAGCCCTCTTTCTTATTTCTAGTTCTCCTGCCCAGCTCCATCCCACCCCATTCTCTCTCTCCCCAGCCCTTTTTGTCCTGTTGGCCTTGGCCATTTACACCGGAGTCACCGTCAGTTTCCTCGGCCGCCGCTTTGGGGACTGGCGCTTTTCATGGTCTTACATCCTGGGCTGGGTGGCCCTGCTCATGACCTTCTTTGCAGGTACTGAGGCAGAGGGGTGGGAAGGTTGAAACCTGGAGCCCAGCAGGCAACCTCAGAGGCTGAGTTGACAAAGTATCCTACGCAACTCTGAAGGCAGACTCTGAGGGGTCTGGTGACCTTAACGGAGGGAGGAAATAAGGAGTCTTTTGGGCTGGGAAGGTAGGCCAAGAGGATCTGGGGTATCAATAGAGATGTCTGTCCACACAGGAATTTTCTACATGTGTGCCTACCGGATGCATGAGTGCCGGCGCCTATCCACCCCACGCTGAGCCCTGGGGTACAACTTGGAGCTGGAAGATACAACGAGGGCACTGAAGAGGAGGGAGAGGACCTAGAGGCTGGAAGCCCTGGCTCCTGAGGGAATGAGGGGGCTCAGTCCTGGATTCTAGATAGGGAGCCCCTGATCCTTCTGTCCTGTGTGGGGAGGAAAAGTAGGGTCAAGTGGGAGGGAGTTGAGAAGACATAAGCCCTCACCTGCCCTGAAGGGTGATAGAAAATGGAAACTCCTTTAGAGAGACATTTGGGGACCTAATAAAACTGATGTGAAACCATCAAAGTGTGAGTTGTCAGAGGGCTTGCTTGGAGAGAAGCGAGCTAGTGGGGGAGGGGGCAGTGCCTTCTGCTGTGGTAGCCTCATTCCTCTGTTATACAGGGATGGAAACAAGATAAATTGGTCCTTACCTAGGAGATAGCCATGGTTTAACGTCTAGAAATGGATGTGTGGGAAAATAGGATGAACAAAGCTTACCTGATTCTCACCCACCTCAGCTCCAGGCCATTCTTTATCTCTCTACTGGTCCCTCGATAGGCCCCTTCACGAGAGACAGCACACACTGCTTTGCCCTCTCTATTTTATTTTACTTTTTTGGAAGGACAGAGTCTCATGTAGCCCAAGCTAGCCTTAAACTGATGATTCTCCAGCCTCAGATCTCTTGAGTGTTGGGGAGGCAGACCTATGTCATCACATTAAGAGATGGCAGAAACATTTTGTGCTTGTCTGTAGAGAAGGTGTTGCACACCACTGGAGGACATGAGACAGAGGACCCAGAAGTGTCACTTTGTCTTCCACTTCCTCAGACACCCTCATCTTGGTGCTAAGATGCCTATGCTGGAGGGCCCAACCCAGGTGGGGTGACTTCTCACTTAATCTGTGAGGTGAGGATGTGGAAAGGTCTTCTTCTCCTCAAGCTTTTTGGAATCCTGTCTGTTCTGGACAGAAGCTTTGACTAGGAATGAGGAATCTCTGTTCCCACTCAAGTCCTTTTTCCTATGGGACTGATGTTTTGATTCCACTGTCCCTTTACTGTTGGAAACTCTAATGCTAGAGTCTAGGAGTGTAAAAACCACAGGAAAGTGTGACACAACTGTTTCCTCAGCCACATCTCCCCTTTCAGTTAATTCACACCCTAGTATGATTAGCCCACCTCCCACCTCTGCCCCCAACACCCCACCAAGGTCTTCCAGGAAACCAGTTGTCTCCAACTGTGGAGAACCTGTGCAGAACCTGCAACAACAGTGTAAACCACTAACTAGAACACGAGGGTAGACATCCCCCAGAGCAGCCAGCAAGTAAAGACTTCAGCAGAGCCCTCCCCCACCACACTGGAGGAGAGGAGCCAATCTGAGGGGAGGGGAAGCCACTCAGGAAGGGAGGGTGTGAAAAGAGTCAGACCAGACACCACGACTGAAGCTTCAGAAAATCCTTGGACAAAGCCACTGCTTACTGGCGGCTTCTCTGGCTCAGAGGACCAGGAGTCCAGGTACATGGCCTTTTCCTTTTTCTAAGAGCCAACAGTCTGGATCATCTCTGTCTTTGTCCTAAGAAGTGGAAACCCAGAGCTGTGTCCATGGAGCCCTGTCGGTCCCTGGCCCTGCTTGCTGGCTCTCTGGGCCTGATTTCTTCTCTGATAGCTCTGAGCACTGACTTCTGGATAGTAGCCACCGGCCACAACTTCTCTGCCCACTCTGGCCTCTGGCCAACGAGCCAAGGGATTCAAGTAGCAGGTAAAGGGGCAATGGGCTCTTTGGTGGTGGGAATGTGCAGTGGGGACAGACATCCAGACACATCGTCTCGCACTAGGTTATATCCATGTGACACAGAGCTTCTGTATCCTGGCTGCCCTGTGGGCCCTGGTGTCCGTGAGCTTCCTGGTTCTGTCTTGCATCCCGGCCCTGTCTGCTCCCGGCCGTGGCCCTTTGGTCTCAACTGTCATGGCTTTTGCTGCAGGTATGAATGGGATCTGGGCTGTACTGGGACACCTGGGCTAGTGAATTCTGCAGTGGCCAAGCCAGCTCAGCTGTCTCTTGTTCTTGTCCGCAGCTGTCTCCATATTAGTGGCCATGGCAGTGTATACCAGTACGAGATGGAGCCAGAGTCCATCTCCCCAGGTCCAGACTTTCTTCTCCTGGTCCTTCTACCTAGGCTGGATCTCCTTCATCCTCTTCCTCTTTGCAGGTGACTACTCAGCCCACCTTCCTGGGGGAGGACCATGATGGGGGCTGGAGCAGGGCAGTACAGGGCAGTACAGGGCAGTACAGGGCAGTACAGGGCAGTACAGGGCAGTACAGGGCAGTACAGGGCACTCAAGTACTTAATCTCCCCTCCCTCCTCTGTCTCCACACCAGGCTGCCTGAGTCTGGGCGCTCACTGTAGAACTCATCGGGCTGAGTATGAAACCTTGTGAACAGAAGCCAAGGACGGCAGGGACAACAGGATGTTTGGAGCTACAAAAGGAATGAAGAATTCTGTCTCTGTCCCACCTTGCCTTATCCTTCATTGGTTTCTTCATACACTCAATAAAAAAAAAAAAAAAAGCTGAGATCTAATTGTTCCAAGATCAGTTTAGCCAAGACATAAACCAAGCCAGGCTTCTCATCCCAGTTACTCAGAAGGCTGGAGCAAGGAGCATCACAACTTCAAAGTCTGCCTGGGCAGCATAGTGAGTTCAAGGCTGGCTAAGGCAGGAAAGTGAGGCCCTGCCTCAAGGCACAAAGCCAAAAAGAGGGCTGGGGTTATGGCTCAGTTATAGAGGTTTGCTGTGCATGAATGAGGTCCAAGGTGCATCTCCAGCACCTAAGTCAACCATACATGAGACTGTGGTGGGCGACACAGGAGCTCTCAGGGAGGGTGAGAGCCAGGCAGACCTGCCTACCTGAGCATATTCTGCCCTGTGTGGACATAAGCTCCTTGTGTCTCTCTTCTGTCCTTAGTGTCTTTCTATCTTTCTCCTTTCTTCACCAAATGACTCTTC